TGTGATGGCTCTATTCCCTTTATTGCTGCCTGGGTCACAAATAATCCGATAAGAATAAACACGAAAAGATGTTTCGGGAAAAATGTGTTATGGATACAAACCCCTCAAGATTTTCACTGCTGCTGAACTGGGCACCTGACAAAATGTAACCTCAGTTTCTGGGAGTGCCCCAGCTTTCTGGAACAGGGATACCGTGGATTGTCATGGTTAAAACACAGAAATAAAGTTAAGGGCAGCTTTTTAGTGTGACCAAGACCTGGTTCATCCTTTGGGGAGGGTGGGTTGATGGTTAGGCAGAGCTTCAACCAAGTGTCTAATCTCCTAATTTCACCTAATTTGTAATTATTTGTTTTTTATCATTTCTCTTTTCCTTTTTTCCTTTGTGTGTCTGGGGTTAGGGAGGTGTCAGGCTCAGGCAGTCACCCCAACATGCTTCCCAGCACATGGATGGTTCACAAGGAGAGGCAAACGAGCCTTCTGAGTGTTAATAATGTCAAAAGGGAGTGAAATCTCTGCTCCTGCCTCTGCTCTCCTGGCCCTGCACAGTCCTGAGCTCTCACATCAGCTCTGGCACTCACTGAAAGCTCCCCCAGAAGAAAATAATCTGTATTTTTCTGCTCTATTGGTTCCTGCAGGACTGTTGGGTTTTATCAGCTCACGGAGGAATGAAGCACCAGAGAAGGAAAACAGAAAGTGGGGGGAATATAAAGGAGGAACTGAGAGGAAAATCCCTCTCCAGGGACACAAAGCCACTGCTCCACAGCACATGGGATGCTGTGTCCTGCTGGGAGGCCCCAAATCTCCCCTAAACAACCAACCAAAGGCAGCTGCTGGATTTTAGGAGCTCGATTGCACCTCACTTGTGCCCCTCTGAGCACTGCAGCACTCCAGGAAAACCCTCAGTTCCTCCAGGAAAACAGCCCAGCCTGTATTTGCTTGTGATGGGCGACCTGGCAAAGGGGATCTGCTCCCAGTTTGCCCAGTCAGAGCCCACCTCTGGCACTGGGCTGAGCAGGCACAGCCCAGCACCCACTGCAGCTTCTGAAAGGCCATGGACAGCCCAAAACCCCCCTTGTGCCACCAGAAATGAGGTGTTTGCAACAACCCCCCGTTTCCTTGGATCACGGGGAAGTCTGGATATTCAGGCTGGATATTCCCTCACCCAGGGAGGGGAGAGGAGCAGAAAGCAGAGCCGTTCTGGGAGGGTGTTAATTATTAACCAAGAACAAGAGCACTGGCAGGGTTTGATGAGCTCACACGAGGAGGACACACTGTACAGCACCAGGGTCCCGTGGAAGCTGAATTATGGACTCAACATGCTTTTAATTACAGCTTTAGCCAGGTACTCAGGGTTCTGGCACAGCAACTGCGGCCTGAGATTGGGGGTTATTTTTATGATATGTTTTCACCAACACTTCCCCATCTCCCTGTCACTTCCCTGCCTTTGCTTGGATTACAGGACCACAGAATCACGGAATCATTGAGGCTGGGAAAGAGCTTTAAGATCACTGAGTTCAACTGTCAACCAGCACCACCCCCATGGTCACCACTGAACCACGGCCTCAAGTGTCACATCCACAGATTTTTTTCACCCTCCCAGGGGTGCTGACTCCACCACTTCCATGGGCAGCCTGTTCCAAGACTTTCCAACCTTTTCCATGAAAACATTTTTCCTAATATCTGATCTAAACCTCCCAGGTACAACTTGAGGCCATTTGCTCTCACCCTGCCCTGTAATTCCAGAAGAATCAGCAGAGGAGAGAGGTTGTTTGCTCTTTATTTCAAAATGAGTATCATCTCTTCTTTGACATTTTGTGAGCAGATGACACTGGGGATCTCAACCAGGTCCATCTCCCTCCACTGCTCAAACAAAGAAAACCAGGAGCTCAGCCCAGTTATTTGAGGTTTCTGTTGGGTGTTGACATGGGCTCACAAATAACCACAGAAAGGCAGAAAATTTCTTTCAGATTTATGGCAGAGCTCTCTACAGCCCAGTGTTAGTGGGAAGCTTGATAACTTCTTCTCATTTCAGATTTAGGCCAGGTTGGACAGAGCTTGGAGCACCCTGGGCTGGTGGAAGGTGTCCTGCCCATGGCAGGGGGTGGAAGGAAATGAGCTCTAAGGTCCCTTCCAAGCCAAACAGTTCTGTGATTCTGGGATTAATTAAATTGCCATAATCTGTGATGGCAACTGCACATCTGCTTCAGAAAGCTGTAGCTTCCTCTTTGCCCACTGAGGAACAAATATACAGGGGAAAACAGCTCAAAAATAACAACAGTGGAAAACAGGAGCTGGACTCAATGGTCCCTGTGGGTTCCTTCCAGCTCAGGGTGTTTTATGATTCCAGCAGGGTTTCAGTGCAAGGGGACAGTAATGAAGATCACACAGGAGCTTAGGGAAGTGGGGAGCTGACCTCAGCTTTGCAGTTGTTTCCTGGGGGTGTCACATCCCCTGATTCTCCCTGCTGTTCCCTCTCTGGAATGTGTGGAGGAGGAGAGCAGAGTATTCCCCCAGGATCCAGCACAGTGACATTAAAGGCTGAGGTGCACAGATCATGAAAATAAGAAGCAGCTGAGTTCACTCTGTTCATGGGCTATTTGTAGAATCCCTAACCCCAAATCAACTTGGGTTTATTGCAACAGGAATGTGGGGCATTGCCAAGAGTCCCTGCTGCTGACACTTCCACTGGGATGTGGATGGTTCCATGGCCTGGAGTGAAACTGGACCCCGTGGAAGTCAACAGGCCAATGACTGACCCTTTCTCTGTGCAGAAACCTCTGTAAAGAAAAACCTCCAGCAGAAATTCATCTTTTATGGTGCTGTCTGGGGCTTTTGGCTACAGAATACGGAGCCACAGGGCACACATTAACAGGGTTAGAGTGGGAAAATATACAAGAAAAAATAGATTAAAAATGAGGATCACTGAAAGATAAAAAGGAAAAGGTGTTGCTTGTCATGCACTAGAACTGTCTCTACAGTATCAAAGTGGCTGATCTCAGGCACAGGGTGTGACTCTTGGGGATGGTCCCATGCAGGAGGGAGGAGTTGGACTGGATGATCCTTGGGGGTCCCTTCCAACTGAGCCCATTCTGGGATTCTGTCACACAGTGTCAACAGCCTCTGTCTTCAGAGGGTCATTCCATCTTCCTGGTGCCTTTTCATCACCATTTCATTCAGATATAGAATCACAGCATGGTTT